TACTACTACTACTACTACTACTACTACTACTACTACTACTACTACTACTACTACTACTACTACTACTACTGCTTGACTGCTGCTGCTGCTGCTGCTGCTCCTACTGCTCCTACTACTCCTACTCCTCGCTTCTCGATCATCGATTCTTGACAACCCTCGAAAGTTGCCACATTCCATTCCAAAAGAACTTTGGACTTGGGACTGTCAAGTAAAGCATCAAGGTTTCGCGTCGCCTCATACAACTGGCACATGGCAGGGATCTCTCAAACAGAGAGTGCCGCCGGGGGCCACAAGCCCGCAAAAAAAGGAAAATGGCACCACGCAATAGCGACTGGCAATCAGATCATGTTGCGCTTATCAAAAAACATTGGTTGTGGAAGTCGCCTCGCAAAACAGGATAAGTCATGGCAGCGGTTCTTAAACCTGTTTCTGGGGTTTTGGAGCCTTCCTGTCCCAGGTCGCATCTTCATCAGAGGACAGTTTTGAAGTCATACTTTGGTGAAAGGTTATTCTGAAGTTTGTTGCGCGGTCAGCATCATTGGCAAGGTAAAGAACAAGATTGTAGGCCATTTGCAAACTATGCAGTAGCTCCACGTGTTGTTGTTCTCATCAATCGGCTTGCCAGGATTCGGCTGACAACCAAGTACACCCCTGGGATTCAGAGATGCTTGAGGAGGTTCAGGAGCGGTGCAGTGGCACAGCCTTAGGGATAAAGACGGAGCTCCCCAACCCAAATGTTTCAAAGCATCTTGGCTTCATAAAGATAGCCGCAAGAGGGGTGGGCTGCTGTTTCATGCCCTAATCCTGGTTCATGTGGGACTAGATGTTTTGCTATGGAGAGCTAGGGCCCGGCCCACTTCGCTCTTTGGCTTTTGGTGCCTGATAATCATGGCACGAACAGGGTGGCAAAAAGAAAGCAAAGGACCACAAGTTGTAGTGTTCTTCTCCATGAGCTAAGCTTTGGGTTACTCAGATTTACCCTGCTGTATAGTTGTATCCACATGCCCAAACAGAGCCGGCCGACACGGTGAGATCAATACGCATGCATAGCTGTTTTGGCTCAACTCAGTGAGAAACATCCAACACCGAGCTATGCCTCGGGACTACCTGCAACGAGTCCAGAACAGTCCGTCGCTGCAAAGCTGCAAAGCTAACACTGATGGCTGTTGCAGGAGGTGTCGCCATCGATATTTGGTTGCATATAGGCATATGATATTATCATATAGGCATATGATGTTTGTCCTTGGAAAGGCTTTACAATGTGCACAGAATGTTTTTGGGAGCGATTGAGAACACTTGACCAAAGAAAGAAAGCCGCTGACTGGTCCGTGGGCCGCCATGCATGGCTTTGGCAGAAGGTGTTCCAGACGTTCGACTGGACTTGCCTCGAATCCAGGACTGGGAAGGCCCAAGCAAGTGCTAAACCTTTGTCTTCCAGCATTCATTTTGCATCATTTTGCCTTTTTTTGTTTTGGCATGTTTTGGCCTCCAAAGCACAAGAGTTTCCTTTCTTGGAAGTTAACTTGACAGGCATTAGCTCCTCAGGCTTCGGAATTTGAGGCAGAAATTCAGCCATCCGGAGCATTGCCCCCAAAAAATTGGACTTCAAAATGAGGCAGTGACTCAGTAACCATGAAAACTTTAAAAAAGAAAAAAGGAGGACAATACGTATATAGATGTTTTGGCTGCTTCGACTACAGACACGAATTCTAACCTGAAGGATGCCCGCGCTCTCTTTGAGCCCTTTTTGCCCTGCGATGACACGCAGCTGCGGAAGATCTATTTGAGACTGGCACTGAAGTATCACCCAGACAAGCTGCTTAAGGCCAACTCTTGGAAGCTCTGATCACAGAACTGTTGACCGACCTGGTCATTGTTGGTCAATGGTCCTTTCAGCCTTTCAGATTAGACACTTGGGAAGATTGTCTTGCGATCCAAACCAAACAATTCTTTCTCGACCGCAAGATTGTGTGTAAAGTCGAAATTTGCAAAGTTTCGCGGACTTCGTCAAGAGTCTGTGGTTCTAAACGAGTTTCTCCTTACAGGAGTTTTCTCAAAACAAGAACCTTAGGACCTTAGGAGATCGGTTTTGGTCATTGCGAGGCGGAGCGTTCCGCGGCCACCGAGCTCTTCCAAGCCATTGCAGCAGTTTGTTGACTCAGAATCCGTCGACCAAGCAGTGAAGGGATATCAAGGGAGAGTTCATCCGTTGGATTTGTTGCCTGAAACTATAATATATATTATATATATATATGTCGGGAGGAAGCAGGCTCAGAATCAAATCGATTCTGTAACTGTACTCCCCTATTTTCCTGCCGCACCCATTTGTTCTAGCAGGCATGCCAAATCACAAGGCATGTTGATGTGATGGCAGAATGAGGCAAGCTCTTGATTTGGTCACAGCGTGTTCGTTGTTCGCCCCGCCACTGTAGCCACCACCATTGCTCAGGCCAAAGCACAACACCCCAGCTACCCCAGCAGATCTAGATTTGCCTGCAGAGTTTGCAAATGCAAAGTGGATACAATCCGGGAAAATAATCGGCAAAGTGGATCAATTCATGTTCGTGAGTCGGAGTAGATTCTGTCCACAAAACCGTCGCTGAGAACAGAATGATCAGACAAATTTTTCATGCAGCCCGGCCATTGCCGATCATCACTGCAGTGACCTGCTTTCCACGCGGAAGCTTCCCAATATGTTCGAAAAATCTACTAGGAGCGGTCGGACGCTACTAGGGGCGCTCTTGGCCTTACTACTAGGAACAAGGACGCGAACCGAACGGAACAAAGGCGACAATGTCTTCTGGGAGTCCAGTTCCCTGAACAACGACTGAAGACCCTCAGCTGGCCCAAATCGAGGTCTACGAAGATTTGCTGCGTCCCTTCGGTGGCAAGATCCCCAAGCGCGTGAAGACACAGACTGCAGCTGCAGCCGAGCTGGGAGACGTCAAGGTCATGGATATATATGGACATGTGGGTGCTAGTGGGGCTGGTTAGTGGCCTGGTTAGGGTAGACACCCTGACGTATTGTACTTGTATCTTACCACATTACTAAATTTGAATCAGATTGAATCACGTGTCGTCTCTTTGGACATTGTCTTTTGACATGAGGTTAGTTACCGCTGGTTTGATGCCAGACGATTTCCACCTGTCAAGCATAGTCCTGAAGCTCGTTGGTGAGAGTCCCTTGAACTTGCACAGGCTTTGCAGCGCCTTTTGATTGAGTTGCCTTCGCGCGCCGTCGAGGAGCTGTTAACAAAACTCAGAAGAGGTGTTTGTTCTTAGAGATTTGGGGTCATAACTTAGATAGCCTCCAACCTAATAGCGATAGCCTCCAAGCTAATAGCGATGGCCTCCAACCATAACTTTAGTCCTAAACACTTGGAGGCATCTGTAAACAAGCCCTCTATCGTGACCTGGTTTGGCTTCGCAGAGACTGCCTTGGGGCAACGGGGCGACTGCGAGGAGGACTACGTGGGCGCGGTGCCTTTGATGTTCGCGGCCAAGGGTGGGTGCATCGAAGCAGCCGAGCTTTTGGTGAGTGCCTGGGCTTGGGAGCTGGAGAAGGCCATAGATGCCATAGAGGAAAAAAAGAGTCTGAAGGAGGATCACAAGGAGTTAGATGTGGGCAAAAGAAATGGATGGATATGGTGGCATGCAGCACGACTCCAAACTTGGCTGGGAACAGAGATTTCTGACAGTCCCTCATATCCCCACACTTATTTGGAGGAGGGCCATACGGTCATTAGAAGGAAGGTTGACCTGTTTGAATGGAATCTCAAACTTTGGGCAATTCATGAGCTAAGCAAACCAGTTCTCTCCGAAGCACGCGCCGTGCCACCTCATTTGTGCAAGATACCAAACGTCCAGCAGCGTTGTCTTGGTGCTAGGGCTCTTGAAGCACTCCGGAGAGTCCTAGTAGCGTCCTTGCTCCTAGCAGCGATGCCAGGAGCCCCTGGTAGCGTCCTTGCTCCCAGTAAGGTCAGGAGCCCCTAGTAGCTTCTTGTATATACTTAGATCTAAAATGGAAACTATCAGGACTGCATTCCTTTTCACAACGAGGGGACCATCCTTGAGGTACTTGAAGATTCCTCCAAGTTGGCACTCTAGGTGCAGATGAGGTCCCAACGAAGAGGTTGGCTTCTAAGCTTAAAGCCCCGAATCATGTCATGTTTTTTAAGGTTTATAGGTGGAAAGCGAAGACGTGGCTTTCCCAAGCCCACTACATCGCATTTTGAGGATACAACGCCGATGTGCACGCCGAGACTCCCTTCGGCTGGTCCGTCTTGGTCTACGCAGCTTTGTCCGACCAGGCCTGCAGAAGTACTGTAGGAGCCGGAACCTACTTTTGATATGACATGTGTACAATGTGTTTGTTTTTTAATATATATATATATATTGTATATGTATACGGTATATGAAACATTATTCATTATGTTACATTAAGAGAACACACGAGGATGGCGCCCTGATTTGATCCTCATGGACTCTGAAGGTCATTGATGAACCTGTTGGGAACAAGTCTATTCAAAAGGCACCCCTGTTCAATAATATCTTTGCAATCCTCTATTATCCCTATTCAGCAGGGCTCCTTTGTGGTCAAGCTGCATCGGCATGTCATCCCAGGGCCACATGGTGCGATGGCTGGCCAAAGAGGGTGCCCGAGTGACAGGCCACGAGTTGCAGCTGGCAGCCTTTGGTGGGTATCATAGGTCGCCCACCTGCAGTTTGCCACGTTCTTGTGTCTCAAAACAGAACGTCGGAAGACGCACACAGCTGAAGTTAGAAGAGAAAGGCAGCTTGTTATGTTTGTGCTTTGGACACAAACTCACATAAAACTTCAGAGATGTGGAGGTGTGTGCTTGTGTTGCAGATGTGCGTATGAGAAAGCAACAATTTTAGGATCCCAACACGAAGGGACTGTTGGTACATTGCCCCCTGTGAACCTGGTGGTCATTCCTTCCCAGGGGCTTGGAAGCTCTTATCGAGCACTACGACCAAGAGCTCTCAGCGGTGAAAACAAGTTCAGGGAACACACTACTGCATTTGCTGTGTTTGGGGATCTTGAACATTCCGATGCCTGGCGAAGAAGACAACACAAAGCAAGTGGGGCAAGGTGTGATAGGTTGGTTGCACAGCTTCGCTATAAATTGTTATTATAGATTCAACAAATTTGATAATGTTTCACCTTCTTGTAAGTGCAGGAAGACGACTCCTTCCATTTTGCTTCCGCGTTTTGCGTTCACACTGAGGAAGGGGCAACCGGAACGCTATTTGAAGTGTCTCACGTTGCTGGCGCCTGCGGTACCACCGAATGTCATGGATGCTTTGCTGGAAGCTAGAGGTTGGTAGATGCTCAAAGGACTCTGTTTGTTCTTAGACAGGGGTTTTTGACAAGCAATGGTTTTGTGTAACCAAAACTGTCGCGCCCCTACTTCAGACTGCCAGACATGTTCTTGCCATGTAGAAGGAGATGTTAGATCACATGTGTGAGAAGCTTCAGTTAGAGGTGCGTGGCCACCCACGCACCCACCCACCCACTCACCCACCCACCCACCCACCACGCCATGCGCCCGTATCCCAACCAAAGCCAAGCCATACAAAACCAACACATGAGCGAGAGAGGCAGGGGAAGCATGCCAACGTGCAAATATGTTTGTGTTTGCTTTTCTTTTTGATGTGACGTGCATGAGCGTCAGAGACTGCAGACCTCGTCCACTTGCCTGGCAAAGTCCTTCCGTTGACTCAGGACTCCAAAAGAGGTCTCAGCCCGATACAGCTGGTGGCGGGGCATGGAAATTGGCTTGAACACAACCTGGAAGCTTCCAACATACATTTGAAGTTTGACACTCGCCTGCTATATATGGGTGCTGCCTGACTCATTTCAATGGTTATGCAGGTGTTTGTTGCAGAATCTTCTGGATTCCTGGCCTGGTCCTTTTTGCAGCGTGAATAGGCAAAAGTCGTCCTGATGTTTGCCTGAAAGCAACCCCTTTGTCACAGTTCCATACAGTTCCTTTGTTTTCTTTGAAATTGATGGGTTCCTCGACAAGTTTGCGATTTACGCAGCTTCGACTTGGTAAATGGCATGGATTGCCAAGCCCTTGCTTCTTGTTCCTTGCTTCTCTCAAACAAGGTGGAGCAGCTGTGTGCTGCCAAAGCAGACCCGAATGCCATGGACAAGAATGGCGACTTTGGAAACAGCTGGGATGAGCCGTGTTTGTTAGTGGTTCAATTCTCTTGACCTCCAACCTACTAGCGATGGCATCAAACATACAAGCGTTGTTCAAGTCTCTTACTTTGGGTGGATCATCCGAACTTGCAGGCTGCAAGGTACTTGTATCGTCATTCTTTGAGGGGACACATCGACAAGGGTGACATTCCATTCAGTCAATAGGGTTCGACAAAGTTTCGAGAAAGTATGGGCCGCTGGTCTCGACTTTCCGTCGTTGTGATGACCGTGAAATCAGTTCAACGTTTCACCCAAGCTTGCCGTAGAAAACGACGCAAACAGATTCGCTTTTGAAGACAGGTGTCAATGATGTCAGGACCTAGCATGAGTCCATTTCCGACCGAAATCTTGAGGGCAGAGCGCTGTGTCGTTGGCGCGGCGGAAGAACTTGAACCAGGCGGCCAGCACCGGACTCCAGGGTTGCCTTTTACATGGCACACGTGTGGCTGCAGACAGTTGCCTGAAAGCATTGCCACTGAAAGTACTGAAGCTCAATATTTTGAGTGACACTGTGACACTAATGAATAGAAGATGACAACGCCTACACATGAGATGACGATATACTTTGCGCACTTTTTGGGGGGCTTCGAGAAAGGGTCTATCGTATCCAGTCATGATGTTATTTGGGCTGCCTGGGTTGAAGCACTTCCCGCAGACTCCGACAGGTTGCATCCATTCTACAAAGATTCGCTGCCTCGCGATTGTGAGCGAGAAGAAACCATTTCATGCTGGGATGTGAGAGGATATGCACAAACGCTGTGTAAATTCTCAGCACAGAATCGAGAGCTTTGTGCCCTTTCACAATCCTGGCAATGGTGCGGGCCTTTCAGCCAATTTAGGCGCAGTTTTCTGACACAAAAAGGATGGTGCATTTGAGAACATGCCATCACCGCACAAGGCTCAAGGACTTGTGAACGGTTTGAAAATAGAATGCCCCCATAAGGTGCTTACGGTTTTGGGTGGAGCAACCGGACCTGCTTCTCAACGTGAGTCAGCGTGTTGGCATTTGTGATCCTTGCGCAGCAGAGCGAAGCAGTTGCTTAGCAGGAATCAGGCGAAGATCAAACACACAATTCTCGGCCAGCTTGGGAACCTTAGTACTGCGTACGGGCGTACTGAGCGAACACCCACTTGGTTGCGAATGCCTGGGACGGCGAATGAACACTTGGAACAGTTCGAAGGAAGCCTCCGGTTGGAAGGCCAAGAAGGCCATCAAGGTCTCGATTGTGCAACACTCAAGGTCAACCTGGTCCCAGACCTAGGTGCAAGATCTCAGATCAAGTTTTTGGTGAGGAGTTTAGAGCATTGTGCAAGCAGTGACGATTAGATTGCGTGTGGGTATTGTGTGGAATGTTGTTGTGTGGTCTACAGGTACGAGAAGTGGCAGCCTCCCTGTAGATAAGTGACAAAGTTGGAATTCTTTTGTTCCCAGGCATCAGATCTCACATGTGCGGGTGTTTAGATGACTTTATGCTTGTTCTTGGTGCATCCCATGCTCGACCCAATTAGGAAATTGCTGACCCAATCGGATTCAGAGAGTCGCTGACCCAATCGATTGAGGCGACGAAGAACCTTCAAAGCATGCTCCGACCCATCATGACACCCATGGAGCCACGAAGGCGGCCAGCCTTAAGCAGTTTGTGCCTCCAAAATAGAAAGCAAAGAAAGCAAAGACGGTTTGTTGTTCTTTAATGTATTTAGATTTCGTGAGGATGTTGGATTTGATGTCATCTCTTCGGTGACAGATTCCTTGGCCTGAGTTGGAAAGACTGAAAAATACTGAAAAGCACTGAAGTGTGTGTGTGTGTGTGATTTCTTTTTTGGATGTAGGAACACTACGTTAGTTTCTTTCAGACGTTTTCTTCGCAAGATTGTTGAAGTTGTAAATGACACAGACACATACGAAATCATAATGTGAAGTCTTACGAATCTGTTTGAAGCAATATTCAAGATGTGTAAGCGAAGAAGCATGCAAACGTGTCCAAATTGATCGGTCCTTGGGCAGGTCTCCGAGGGTGTCGAGGAAGTTTGGTCTTCAGGAGCAGTCGATAGAGCTTACAAGGGTGAAACACGGAGCTTGAGGTGAGTAGGAGTCCTGAGTAGTTCTGAAGTCCTCAATTTTTCCTTGAACAACACAGCTTGGAGACTGGAGATTCACTTCAATGCACCTGGAGTTTCAGTGGAGGATTTTAGCTCGACTACAGGGTCCTTCGCAACCGCGACTTCCTTTCACAGTGGCTTTGGCACCGACCTAGGCCAGCAAGCATTGCCATTGAGGGTAGTCAGCTCAAAATGATTTGGGCGCATGCTTGTTTTGATTTGGTGTTTATGACTGTTTATGCTAGCATCAGTCAGAGTTGAACACGGCAGTTTATTGATCATTGGTTTGCGTGGTGTGGCCAGGCTCCACATCGTTGTCATCTGTTGGTCGTGGCCCCTTTGCTGCAGAAAGATTAGTGAGAGAATCAGCTGTTCTGTCTCCCAATACTTTCGTTTGATAAACACCAGTCACTAGTCACTAGCAGCTCAAATGAGCGGCTCCACAATGTTTTGTTAGTCCTTTTAATAGTGTATTTCTTCTGTTCGGAGTCTCACCATCTGTTTTTTGTTTGTTGCTAGTTTGCTTGATTGAACACCGGAGATCATGTCGGACCCTAACAACTTGCGCCTCCAAATTGATTGACTTCAATACCTTTCAACGGTCGTATTTTTGCCCCCGACAAGAGCTGCAAACGAAACGCAGTCGGAAACCTCTCAACGATCTGGAAAGGTCGACCATTTTGTAATGCCAGGAGCCCCGTTCGTAGCGTCCTTGCCAAGAGCTAGCTACTGGTATTTGCTACTAGTAGCGATACCCTTTGTTCTGTTCCTGCCGTTCACACTCATCCATTTGAGGCGACTCCATGGCTCAAACCTTCTCGGAGGGATTCCACTATGCGGGCGTCCAAGGACCGGTGACCACCACGAGCATCCGTACTGAAATCACAACTGAACTATACACGATATAACATTATATACATAACTATACTGAACTGTTGTGGATATAGTTAGCATACTACTATACTAACTACACCAACTATACTGAGCTTTTTTGGGATCTTTTGCAGGCTTTGCACAAGCAGTCGCCAGCTTCAGGAGTTCGAAGAAAGAAGAAGCGTCGGGTCCAGGCGGGAAAGCACAGAGAGATGCGTGTGGAAGTGGACACTTGTCTCCAAATGAGGGGATCCCGACTCTTTGTTAACAAGGGCATCGCTACTAGTACCAAGGGCATTACTACTATAAACTACTATATGGTAGCTGGAAGCTACTAGATCTACAGTATTCTTTCAGACACCTGTGTGTCCAGCTGTTTCCAGCGGATGTACAGCTGTTCGACGCTGCCCTTGAGGGGTTGGGAAGGAGGGAGGGGTAGAGGGTTTAGATGACAACAGAGCAAGAGGAGACCTTCCAATCCTGAAGAGGTTATATATATATAGACTATTATAGACTAAATCAAATGCTGTGCACTCTTCGGAGAGGGTATTGGGTGTTTGGCGTAGCAGGAACACGGGATCTAAAGATGTCTAAAGGCATAAAACAAAAAAGAAAGGAAGAAAATAAAAGGACTCCATACTTTTTGGACTACTGGCATGGCTAGAGGTGGTGAACGGATGGTACGGGGAAAGTTAAGTAAACTCTCTAAAATTGCGGTTAGTAACGTTGTTGGAAGTAACTTTGTGCAACAATGTGTTCTTTTACAGTAAGTCTCTTCCTTTCCTTTCTTTAAGATTCTATTGACCTTTGCTTTCTCGAGCACTTATGTAGTTATTCCTGTTGACCAACCAAAGAGAACCATTCAACCGGCCAGCAGACGCTTCACACGGCACAGGATGGGAAGATGCGGCGAGGCTCGCTCATGATAGCAGACAGACCACCAGTTTTAGGCACTGGGCGTTGAAGGATAATGAAGGTGTACCAATACATTAAGAGATGTGTAAGAGGTTCTGGTTGTGTTGCTGTTTTGGGTCACAAACGTTTTTTTTGCATTGTTTGGTGTGGTTTGAGCGTCTCAGTGTTTCTTTGAAACCATTAATGATTAGAGTGCTCGGTTGAGGTATGCTAAGCATTCGTCATCGGTTGTCGCTCTAGCGCTCCTGAGTTGCCTGACACCACGTGAATCTTTTCATACGCTGTTCTTCCCAGGATTGATCCTGGAACCGGAACCTAGGGCTGGAATCTGTGGCCAGGAAAAGCTCGGGCAGCATGGCAGTCTGACCCGGAGGAGAAGACCTTCGGTAGGCACCCGCTTCTTTTTTCTGAGAGAAGTTTCTGAGCATTTCTTAGCTAAGCGAAAGACATGCACCAGAGAGGGACATCATACACCTGTGCTAAGTGCATACATGTGTGTGTGTGTGGATATTTATTTGGTTTAACTACTCATTTATACCATGGGTGTTTGACGCTGGTCTTCCTGTCAGGCAGACTGATGAGAGCTTCAACACTTCCAAGCGCAGTGCCTGGAACCCGTCTTGATGGCAGCCTTTACAGGGCCAAGTGCAGCGAAGCATAGCGAAGCTAGGTCGTTCTTTGGGGTGTTGAATGGCCACGACTGCCACTTCAGTTCAGCGCTCATGAAGTTGCATCGCTGTTGGTTTGCATGTCAGGTACTAGCAACGTACTATTCACTTCGACACCCCCAAGATCGTAGAGATGTAAAGCGTAGATCGAGGATTGCCGAGCAGGCACTGTTAACGACAATCCGCAGCTGGAATGGCACCATGTCTACTACTGCGATTGCCTCCAGTCAATGCAAGACGCTAATTTTTTGTGCATCCCCTTGATCGTCCACCGTGGAATCAATGTGATCAGAAAAGTTAGGTAAGATTTGAGAATTCTTCCAAATATAAGCAAAAACCTCTTGGGGATGTAGAGATCATTGACCGTCGCAGAAACGAAGTTGCAATGCCAAAGGCAGTGCTAAAAGGGACCGCCTAGAAGGGAGAGAGGTCCGAATCCGCACGTGTGGAATATCTTGGAATCTCTCAAGCTTGACGCCGATGCTGTTTAGGCTTACAGACCTCCTCCAAAAATAAGACGAAACATGAACACACACATATATGAACATGATTTGCCCATCCCAAATATTGACCTCATGATACCTCATGACTGTCCTTTTTGCCCACTGCTGTGCCCTTTTCCATTCCTTGCGCCGGCTGGGCTGATCATGGCTGAGTCAGGGAAGGGCGGCATGTTGCGCCAGGTAATGCAGAAGGTCTCGAAAGTCTTTAACCGAGGCCTGATGCGCAAAGACAGCAGCAAAAAGGCGGAAGACCTGGATGTTGATAACGACTTTGACCCCGAAAACGATGAGTTGCCTTTGTCCACGCGTGAGAATATCCTTGGTCGTCGTGACTCGAGATTCATCATGGCAGAGACTCGCCTTGGTCAAGCCCTACCTCACAGTTTGCTCCTACCTCACCCAGTTGTATAGACCAACAACCAAACCAAACCAAACCAAGCCATTCACCTTAAACTTCAACTTGAACCGGAACCACACCAGAATCTTCCTCGAACCATCTGGAAGAACTGCAAGATGTTCGATTTCAGCTGCCCGAAACGAACCTGCATATTCTGGTTTGAGGATCTATTGTGCGTTCATTCACTTTTCTTGGTGTCACTGGCTCAACAAATTCACAGAATCAATTTGGAGATGATTGGCGCAGCTTGTCGAACTTGGAAGGCTGAAGTGGAGATGGCCGCGGATCACTCACACAAAGCCCTTGACCCATCTTTACCCCTCCTCTAACTACCACGGCTCTTGGGAGTTGAGGCAGCCAAGTGCTGTCAATGGTGCCGGTTGGACTGCTGGACTGTTTGTCTCCGAGGTCCCAGCAATATCCAGCAATCCGATGGCAATGCTTAGATGGCCGATCTCCCTCGCTGAGGATTTCTTCACAATCATTCAAAAAAACCCGTTAAGCCGCACCAATCCCGGTGTTGAAATTCAGACCGCTTCTCAGTTCCAGGTTTTGGAGGTTTTGCGGGTTGTAAGGGGAAGAGCAAGCAGGTTCATTTTGCATCTAATCGCGTCCTGGGCTAGGATAGCTTCGAGCTGCGTCGCGAGTTCCCTGGACTGGACATCAAGCCTCGGCTGATCTTCGACCACCCCAGCATTGAGCAGCTCTCCGAAGCCATCGTGAACCTGCCAAAGGCGGACGTGGAACCTGCCGTCAGCGAGGGCACCAGTCGATCAGCTGGCAACGGATAGAAAAGGGGTCATGGTTGAGGATGTTGAGGACAGGGATGGTTGTGGTGTAGAGTGGCTCACTCACTGGTGAATTTCAGACACTTACTGAAGCACAATCGAAGCCTTCGGTTCTGTTATGACTTTTGGCGGCAGATAACTGCCTTCACACTACAAACGTCTACAAATCCTATGGCCCTATTCATCCCTATACATAGAAAATGCAGAACCTGTGACCGTGTTTCGTGCATAGTAAACGGTAAGTGGGTAAGGCTCGACATGTGCAAATAAATGCTCATGTTATTTGCCGTGGCGAATGGTCGGCCAGGGTCCACTAGGATTCCTCGGATCCCACAGCTTCGACCCAGCTTCGACCCAGGTTCGCCGGCGTGGGTACTCGACTCACTCGCCCGACTCTCGAGGTACACGTCTCGGTGGGAGCACTGGAGAGTCATCTGCCTACGTCTCTCGCTTCACTCAGCTGACAGAGTACGTTGCCTCAGACGCAGTCACGACCGTCAGCTATGAAACCACAGGTGAGGGCTCGTGTATGCAAGTGATCCAATTGTTTGATCATGTTTGTTTGAAAACCTTTAAAGTAAAGGGTTAGTTGGTTCATTGGTTGTATCTCTCAGCGCCATGTCAGGCATGGATGATGTGTTCATTCGCAGCAGCGATGGCATGGAGTGCGTGCTGATTCCAGCCGCCTGCGCCCGAATTGGGGATGACGGGAAGTTTGAAGGTGGGGACAATGAAGGCCCGAGCCACGAGGTGAATTTGGAGAGTTTCTTGATGGATATTGAACCTGTAAGTGTGGGTGCGTATGCCCGCTTCTTGAGCATGGTCCATCCAAGCCAAGAACAGTTGCTTGACTGGTGCATTTTGCCGGAGGAGGACTGCGGTAGAAGCTTCAGTCTTGAAGATTGTCGAGAGTGGATCTCCAGCAGAATTCAGGTTCCTCATTGCATGTAGAATAGCATGGATTGCATACAGGATCAAAAAGCGCTCAATGATATTCAGTAAGTGTGTGTGTGTGTGTGGTCAACCCCCAAGTCAAGTATTCATCTATACTATATATTTATATACTAATTTGATTATCCATGTGTGTGTGATCGGACATTGCCTAATTGATGCAGTACAAGGAAAACCCTTCTCTTGAAAGGATGAGAGATGCTGCCACATCCCGATCATGCGGGCCGAGAGTGGAGACGGTTGGCAAGTCAAGAGTGGCGTCCCAGTGAGTTGGCCCATGATTTTGGTCTCATGGTATGGTGCCAATGCATATGTGCCTTGGCCAATGTGACATTGTATGGTCTCACGAAAAGTTGCCATTCAATGGTTGCTCTTTACATCTCTTTACCGTCATTGTGTGGTTGAGGTAATAAGCGGTAGACGAGGTCAGTCGTTCTGCCTCCGATGCATGAAGATTGGTCCGAAGCATAGGCCGCAGCTTAGGCCTTGTGGGCACATGGAGAGGATTGGTCCCAGTATAAGAGCGCAGTTTCAAGCTTTCTTCCCACGGAAGCTCAATGGGAATACGGCGCACGTGGAGCAAACCCTGCTCGATTCCCTTGGGGAAACACGGACGCCAGCGAAGAGCTCCTGAATGTGTGCTGGGATGCTAGTGTGTACGAAGGAGTGAGTTTCTTGCCGAACGGTAGACTTTTCACGACTTTTCCATGGACATGAGTCACGAGTTATGAGCTAGCTACCAACCACCTGTTCTTAGCTTCAATGTTTGTTGGCTTATTTGGGTGTCAAAGCCAGCAATCAACCATAGTCAATCGCAGACTCGAGGTCATGTCGCAACTCCTTTAACTGAGCTGCCGTTGGTGAGCGTGAACGTTCAGATGGGTGTATCTCCATTCGGCCTGCGGGGCATGGCTGGAAATGTATGGCAGTGGTGCCGTGACACGTACCATGAGAATTTCTACCTCTCCTCCGATGCCAGTGCACCAAATGCATGGAACAGCGAGGCACTGGGAGTTCCACAAAGTGGTTGGTCAACAAACAAATATTGTGTGAGAATGTGTCAGATGTCGAAGCATCGAAAAAAAGTCTCCAATCCTTTGGGAAAAATATCAAACGAGGCGGGCGACGCCAAAAGCGAGCGTGGCGGCAGCTGGGTGGGCGGCCCACAATTGGCTCGTAGCAGCTACCGCCGGGGACGCATCCCTGAGGCCAAGGGCCGTTGCTTGGGCTTCCGCTGCTGCGCACCATCCACACGACTGGCTTAGACGAGAGCGAGAGCAACTCCAGACAAACAAGGAGAGCCAAAGAGCTTTGCCTGAAATCAATGATTCGTGTATGATCATGTGTGATCTGCATTGGTTTAGGTTTTGGAGAATGCAGAGCGTGTGGGCTAATTGAATAGAAAGAAAAAGCTGCCAGGAGTTTCGGAGGACGTGGTGACGTGGAAGGGTGTGGAGCAACATGAAATCCTTGGTATGCTGAAGACTGCATGGGTCTGAAGATGCTTAATCACATGAAAAGAAGCGCTGCCGCTTCAAGTGTTCAAGCTTTTAAAAGTCAGCTTAGCGTGCATGTCTAGAGAATTGGAGGGCACTGCAGCGCCAGCTTACAGACAAGTACCTTGATAGCTTCTCCCTTCTTGAGCTACCCGCCACAAAAATCCACAAAAGACGAAAAGAGAGGCACGAGAAGACAGCAGCTTACTCTCACTCAGGGCCGGAATGGTCACATCTTGAATTACTGCATAAAGAAAAATTGCATTTGGATATATTTGGATAAGGTATTGTGGCACGCTTCAGCCACTCCATCGATTGTGCCAATGTGGTTTTGGCCTCCACTTTTGCTATGGCCACCCTAGCAGCAGTGGCTGCCCGACCCTGGCGGTTGCTGATTTGTGGGCTCCGACATGGGCGGCCTGTGGAGTCCTTGAAAAGGCTCTTGGAGGAGCTCGCCAGAGTGATCGATGGACATCTGAGGCTCCAAGGTTGAAGTGTGTTGGCTTGTATGACCTGGCGATTGGTTCGAGAATGACGAGACATGTGATGAAAGATGATTAACTACCCATGTGTCGTATAGTTTTCAAGTTTTTATGACAGGTGATGCATGGCACAGCGAGGTGGCACGACAATTGATGATGACTTCTGGTCAAGAGTTTTGGTGGTTTGTCATGTTATAATGTTTGTCATGACCTGGAGCCTAGCATGGCTCACCAAGCTAGGCTTGCATACGCACAACCCAAACCTTGTGCACCCACACCACCCACACTACAGCGGCTTGTGTTCAGGCACCACCCTAGCCTCCGTCAACGCCCTTCCACGTCGAAATCAATCCACAAGAACTTTGCTTACAGCCTTCCTGCCAGAAGACTCCAGATTAGCATTTCGCTGTTTGGCAGTGTGGTGTGCTAGTGGATGCCAATGGAAACTTAATGTGTAGATTGGTGATATATGAATTGCCGACATGTAACGAAGGGTGCTGCAGTGTGTGCGAGTGGGGGCACATACTGATGTGACGAGACGTGGTTGTTGGTTTTTGTGTCACCTAGCACCAGTGCATGTGGCTAAGGCGCAACATAATTCAAATCTTCTTGACTTGGCATTTCCTGGAATTTGTTTGGCCAAGGGCACTTAGAAGAACGCCAAGTCACGTGATGCGAAGAATTGGAGAATGATGAGAATGCTCGTGTTTGTTCTTGGCAATTTGCAGGATTTTCAGCCTGCCGCCATTTTCATCGAGCTCAGTCGAGAAGACTTCTTCAATGTCCGTACCAGGCTGGATTGAAAAACGCCCAATGCGTCTCGCAGACGTTTTCGACCGTTTTCGGATTTGGGAGATCAGTCGATCGCCCAAGCGTCAGTCCAAAACGAGGGTCGATCGCGGCACCACACCGACGCCGAGCCAGGAGCGAATTTGCCGACGCCGCACCGGAGTGCGCTGAGGCCATCAGGCCGGAGTGCGCTTGGGTGCTACGGTCGAAATTTCACAGGTACAGCTTTTGGGCGGTACAGCTTTATCCTAGAGCTTTATGAAGTTCTTGGCTATTATGAATTCGTACTTTTATAGACTCATCTCGCACCATTTCGTCGCACCGGCCAGCGTGGTGGGACGATTCTTGAGAAGAGACGTTGTGTGCAAAAGTGACATTCCGGGAAAAGAGACGCTGCAGAAGGGTTCAAAGACCTTATGTCAGAAGTTTGAAAGTATTTTGTGCTAGAAGGTGTTGGCCTCGCGTATGTGTTGGTTCCACCTTGTAAAGGCAAGGTCAGTAAGGATGGTAAGCGCTCGTTTCCGAATTTCATTGGGCTCTCACTTTGCCACTCCAGCCGTTCAGGTGGGCTGAGCGCCACGACCGCACGGTGATACCCTTGGACCGGCCACAGCTCTCCAGCCGCCGGCGCTTGGCGCAGAAGATGGCCTTGGAGCCCATGCAGCTGGTCGCTGCCAGGACGGGAGTGTCCTCCCGTGAAAGGGTGGAGGTTGGACCCTCCAAGGACTCCAATGCTGCGTTGGTCCATTTCACAAATTTGGTTGTGAGTTTTCAGAGTGGTTTTAGGGATCGATGAGTTTTGGGGGTTCCACATAGTGGGCATATGCGCACATGGTGGCAGGAAGTTTTGGGGCGAGGTGCCCGAGCACCTCGATCCAATTGCATGGAGAGCTTCCTTGCGGAAGAATTGCCCTGCATTGCATGAGGTCATCCTGGAAGATGCTCGTCACAGAAACATGGAAGCATGGAACATGATTTGCAATCAATGTTCACCTCTATGTCTGCTTGGGGGATGGGTGTGATGCTGTGACCTCTTCCAATCCAGGAACGGGATGAGCTCATGACATACCGGATACTGCTTGCCTTGGAGTCCCGTTTGAAGGCTCAAGGCCCCCGATCTCGTACAGGTGGGCTTGCTGGGTGGGTGGTGCAGCGGACATTTTCTTGCTTGGTTGAAGCATGTTGAAGCTTGATGTTACAAATTCTCCAGTCTGAATCTAGGCAGTCTAATTGCATTTGATTACTGATTACTCATCGTTCAACTAAAGTACAGAATCACATGCCTTGTGAGCTTCCTTATCATGGTGCGGGCTGTTTTAAGCAGTCACACTGTTCGGCATTGATCATTTGCCCCTGTTGAGGCAAGGCGTTCCACAACGACTTGCCATTGTCCACCCTTCTGGAGCGCATACGCTTGCGGGAGAAAAGCCGCCTAAATGACGTCCCTCAGTTTAGCTTATTGGTTCTAATAGTTTCTTGTTACTACTAGTAAGGCACTTGTTACTAGTAGCGATGCACTTGTTCCTAGTAAACTGCAGGTAATAGCATGATATCGAATGCATACTGCATACAGATCATACATGATCATACAGCATACGTGTCTTCATAAATTTTGAGAATGGTCTCGAGATTTCAACGCTTGCTGTGTGATTCGCGTCATCCCTCCCAGGCCATGGCTTGGAGTTTGCATCCGCAAAAGGCCCTTCGGGAGCTGCCATCCTGGCAAGACGTGGAAAGTGCGCAGATCGATCCCGACAATATCTTAGTCCTGTGTGGGCCAGCTCACGTGCAGGAGCCAGATGTTGATTTAGATTGATTTAGTGTCGATATGGAGGACTCACTCTTAGACACCAGCTGGCAGGAAGTGTCGTTCCTTGGTTTTTGATTGTAGCAGATTGGAGCCCCAGGAAGACGTGACACTGCCAAAAAGAGCAATGGTCCTTTAAAGTATATTGTTTAAAAAGACACCGGCAGCGCTACACTTGTTACTGCTACGGCTACGGGTCAATACCCCGACCTCACATGAAGTCCTGGTTGAGCAGCTCCTCACTGCACTACCTTGCCACCAAGCACCTGCAAGGAGCTTGGGCATCGATTGCAGGTGATCTTCGAGGACAGCGCTTTCTCCCGCCGCTTCTTGGCTTCCAACGCAGCGCTGCTGCCGCAGCTGATGACGACCTTTGCAGAGGAGCGCAGTTCACACGAGGAGGCTCAGGAATGGCTCCTGAGAGCTCGAAGCTTTCTAGAGAGTTCTGGTGCAATGACCGAAGAGAAGAGCACGGAGAGTGCAAAAGGCTTCGGGCCTTTGACTATGCTCGCCAACCAGGTGTGCCAGCTGTAGTTTTACTCTTCTTTTTTTTTTGTCGGATGCCGACTAAATCGTTTTGACCCTGATGCCAAACAGAGGTTTGGCAGCTGCTTCCACAGCAGGAAGGTGGCGAGGATATTCCTGAACCACCGCTTCGAAATGCAGACTTCATCCAAGAGCGCTTGAGAGAACTGTCCAAGAAGCCACTTCCTATTTGGCCGGTGGTTTTGCTGGCCTACATAGCATGTCCCGTGCTAGTGTTTGTGCTGATTCCAGCAGCCATCGATTTACAGTGGATACGGATTGGCCCACAAGTGCCTTCTTTGCTCACAGATTCGGAAGAAGAAATGAGCCAGCAATGCACGCTATTGCACAACTTGTTTCATGGGAACAAAACCAAAGAAACAAGGAAATGGCAAGTTGAGCCATCACAAGGGTTGTTTTTCTGCAGGCGTTTGCTCCTGGCACATTGCTACTGCGCACCCTGAAGAGAGGCTCCACCTCATTTCCCCTTGTCAGACTATGTCAGATTACATACCAATTAGAGTTTAGAGCTTTGAACTTGGACTCTTGATGGAGATTAGTTTCACATGCCAGTTGCTTTGGTACTTCAAAGTGCAACCTCACCCAGCACAGCCCAGTTACCAAAGGCACCAGAACGTCCACAACACACTGCACTCGAGCCATGAAGAAGAAGCGGGCGGCGAAAACCGCGAAGAGCAAAACCCCAAAGGCAATAAAGCCTGAGGCGGGGCTGGCAGGGTGTTCGCTTATGTGGGCATAGAATGAAAAGCCAATGGTACTCAGAGAATAAGAGCTGTTTGTTATTCTTCCAGTTGCATTTGTTGTTTTTGTTCAGAACCCGAAGAAGACTTTGAGCTTGATTTGAGTTCCGACCTTTGCTTGTTATGATTTTCGGTAGAGCCAACCTAAGTGATTGGGACAGGAGCAGCAACACCTTGGCAGGGACACTGTACCCAGGTTCGACAGTAGGTTCGTGTTCTGAGTCAGGAGGATTGGCTTGGAGATGAGGCTGAAGGTGAAAATGAGCCCGGACCCTGGATGTGGACAGAGAAAAGCTCTTCAACTTCGACGTGAAACAGCGTAAAGGATTTTTTGAAAACGATGTGGGAGTGTGGTGTGTATTTAGGATATCTAGAAATTGAGATAAACAATAAACTGACTACTTT